AACCCAGAGCTCTGGTTCTGGAGCGCGTATCTGATGGATGCCACTTGGGCCATTGTTCGGCAAGTGCTAATGTGCTGCCCGCGCTGCGGAAATGTTTCATTTTCTGCCTGGCCAGGCCAAACGGATTCTGTGGCCTTTTCCAAATTGTTAATCAGCCGAATGCCACAGCGTCTTTTCAAATTCAAATTTTGAAATTTTCCAATTTCAATTTGATTTCGGTTTCCTTTTTTTTCTATTACCGACACTGAGGAAACTGTTAATATATTTACCGAAATACTTTTGAAATTCGTATGTTTAAAAACTTAATACTAACCTAATCGGAATAAAATATTATTAATTTTTGTCATTTTATTTTTTCAAAATTATTTATTTATATGTTGATATTGCCTAACAAGCTAAAGCTTAGTTTAGTTGAACCATTTGTTAGTACTTTTTATAGTGCATCAACGTTCAACAATATAATTATTAACAACTAATTAGTCAGAGAAATCACTTTCAACAGAAAAAAATGGTATTTAACATTATGTAAATACAATTGGCAACCGATTTATGATAAAAGTAAGCCCCAGATAAACAAAATGTATTTCTGATTATACCAAAACTGATTCAAAAACTGATTGATAACTGAATATGTGACTCCCTACAAACTATACATTTAAATTAAACATTTGCTTAGGTACTGCAAAAGAAAAGTATCCTAAATGTAATTAATAAAAATAAATTAAACTAACCAATAAACAAATCATTATCTTTACTTATAAGAAAGGAATTTTGTTATACAAATGTTTTAAGCCGTATTTCTCCCTCAGTGTAACATAAAAAAAGGAACAAATCGAAAGGACATCGCTACCCTGATTTGGTCCAATCGTAATCCCCGAGACATGTGCAATGCGCTCTGTTTGTGTGAAAGTCAAACGCAAAGTAGGGAAAGCAAATGCCAAGGAGGAAAACCGAGAAGAAAAGAATGAAAGAAGGGAAAAAAGATTTAATGTCGACTTTGGGTGATTTATTGCCAACAAAATTGCGTCCAGACCAGCGCTCTTGTTGAGTGCAACGCAGCGAGTGAGTGTATAGAAAATAGAATTGAAATAAAAGGCAGCAGGACACACAAAGATACAGCTACAGCTACAGCATCAGATACAGATACAGATACAGATACAGTAACAGTAAGAGAAACAGACAATTTGGTTCACTTCGGATGGCAGGCAGGAAGGGCAGGAGGCCGCAGGGATGGAGGATGGTATCTGAAAGGCCCGAGATGTTAAGATGGAACTAATAGCATTAAAAACTTGCGTAAATGCACAAAGATAATTTCTATTTTTGAGGGTGTGAAATGTATACACACAGAGACAACGGGGAAAGTGACTTTGGGGTCGGCCGATATAGATAGACCCTAAGATGGATTCGAAGTCGGAATCGAAACTCGAATCTTTAAATCTCTGCATCCGAGCAGCGTGAGAAATTTGTTGCTGTTTTTATTTTTAATTTCTTTTGTATGGATGCGACGGTTTGGTTTCCTTGTAATAGATCAAAACATGTTTGGGTCAGGGGGAGATCCATTTGTGGGGGTGGAGAGAAATTGGAAAAGCAACTTGCAAAAGTCAGAACTTGGTGGGATGTGTAGGTACCACCGATTCACTTTGAATAATTTAAGAATGCCCTGTCCTCTCTGCTTTATTAAAAATGTATCGAGCTAAGCTGCGTATCCGTGAGATACATTTGCACTTTGCACTCTCCATCAGCCTATTCAATTATTTATATCTTCACCAATTACTGAGGTCACTCGAAATTAGCTAATTAAATAAAAAGGTAAAGTCCTGAAATTTTGTGAGTGTGACAAAAAATTGCGTAAGGTGGGGATATAAATGGGGCTAAAGGGGAGCTGGGATCTGAGGGTTAAGGGTCTGAGATTTGGGGTCTAATGGGTTCAAAATATGTTGGGGATTCTTGGGCTGAATGATTTATGCCTTGCCCAGATTCATTGCAGAAGTGACAATTGCGTTGGGGTTAATTAAAATGGATTGGACGGGGATTCATTGGGCTTAGATTTTTCGGGGAGGCTTCTAAGTCAAGGGACTTAAAGATGCAAGGGGAGTACTTTTTCTGCTAAGATATTTTGTTGGAATTTCATTTGTAAGCATTTTCTTTGTATTCAAAATAGGGGTTATGGCAAAAGACATTTTTGAGTGACAAATATATATAAATAAGTCTGTAATTTAGCTGTGACAAACACCATTTTTAATAGTTCAAAACGAAAATAGTCCATAATTATCTTATCAAATGTTGAATCAACAGTAAAATCATATTTGTATTTATCTTATTTATATTTCAGAAAGTAATTGTTGATATGTTAAAGAATTAGTTTTAAATAATAAATAAATAATAAATAAATAATGTTGGTAATATGAAAAATACCTTTTTAGATACATTATTTGAACCAAAGCTTAAATTATTATTTGAAACTATTTTGTAAAGAAATATAAATCTTGAAAGATGTTTAAGTGCAATTCATGTCACTTAGTAAAGGGTGGTGTTGGTATACCTGCAGAATACTCTTTTAAGTCTCAATAAAAATGATTTCCTGATTGTCTTAAACCTCTGCTAATGAAGCCCGCGGAAAGCAGAAAGTGTTTAAATCAATATCAGCTCAACATCGACATGTGGGAAGAGCCAGAGCCAGAACCAGAGACCTCGGGTTTGGGTTTAAGTTTGGCCAGCTGGTCAAGTGAATCGACGTGGGGACAACACTTCTGCACGGCGAAAGATACACAGATACACGACATGTACGGATACAGATACACAAACGTTGGCGATGGCAAAAACCAAATCCCACTAATGTGCTTAAATAAATTTTGCCAGCGTTTAAGCCAATTAGTCCGTCGGACATTTTACTTCTTGTCAACTTTGTTAGCGGTACTGGTACTGCTGGCCGCTTTTGGGGTCGCAGCCCACTTGCAACTCGGCTTGATTCTGCTGACAACGTGCCTCGGATCCGCTGGATGCCCCCTCCCCCTGCCTGATAAACCCTCCAGATACTTCTTTATTTTTTTTTTCCGTTTTTTTCTGTCCATTTTTTCTCGGGCAGTGCTTATGCAGCATAAAAGTCCGTGGGATTAAAATTGTATCTGCGCTGTCGGCTGCCGCTTTTCATGCCCTTTTACGCATTTTTGCCATTTTGCTTTAGCCTTGTATCTGTTCTTGTTTAAGCCCTCTCTTTTTTCGTATTTTTTCGGGATTATTGAAGTGCAATTAAGCTAAAATGTCAACGTGGAAAAAATTAATCGTTATACTACCCTTTTTATGGTTTCCCCCCGGGTTTTTTTTATTTTTTGTATTATTATGGTTTTTGGTCTGCCCAACTCATTTGGGATCCTCTCGTCTAATTCATGTACATGTCAAAAATCGTATTGCATTATGAGAGCCGAGTTGTCGAGCTACTTATAAGTTATAACTGAAGATGCCGACGCATTCGGACTGAGATTCCTGTTCGCCGTCTGCGTAATGATTTGTTATTTATGATTTTCGGCTCCAGCCAAAGGCTATCTTATCACCAAAACAGCAGCAGAAAAAGCAGCAGAAGCAGCAGCGGCAGCGTCAGCAGACTGACTGCAATTGTTTGCCCAGATACAGATACTCGGTTACTCCGATACAGATACAGATACATTGCTGCTACCCATGGCTGTAACGCTAATCGGCGAGTTAACATTTTATCGCTACTGTTCTGGCACTATGCAAATATGTGCTCCCAAAAACAGATCCCCAGATATAATGACAAGAGCACCAGTACCATTACCAGTCCCTGTGGCTGAGTCAAACTCAAATATTTTCGTGTTTGCCACACGGCTCTGTGCGTTGACAGATTTGCGGGGCAATAAATCTCGGTCGGTTTACTATATTCTCTCCCACTCACTTCATACTATTCGTTTTTATCACAATATCTGAGCGGGAACGTTTAGAAGGCAGCAGTAATTTTGTTATCTTGTCAGGCCAGTGTACGACACGTCCACCTATTTGTACAATATCTACCCAGAAGGGGGTGGACTGTACTGGGAGTCGGGTACCAAAATCGGTAGTTGCTATCTATGAGATATCACCGAGCTAGCCATGACGTTGGGTCGCCTTGTCGCATTATGTCAATGACGACAGCAGCGCCATGAATGTGCAGTGATTGTTTAGTTTGGTAATTATACAATGGAGCCACCCACTCGCAGTACCCCTGTTCCATATTCCCAACTCCGGGAGCCCCAGTTCCGTCGCAAATGATGAAATCACAGGGACAAGTGGCTGTCTACCTGGCGAAAGGTGGATCTCGTGGCGTGGGAACGTGATAAGACGCTCAGATTAGCTGTGGGTGGGACAGACAGCCTGAATGAATTCCATTTATGCAGCTCGGCTTAGGATTTACTAGAATGTTGCATAAGCTTACAATCGAATAAAATTAATATTTATTCTAAGATAAACTAGTTTTTTAATGCATTTAATTGATCTAGGGATATATAATGATAAGTGAGTTTCTCTTTGTAAATCTACCTAAAGTTTAACATTTGTAAAACGGTTCAAATCGACTTAAAACTAACGAATCGTTTATCGATGGCAAATAAGTTGGTAGTGTAAGACAGTGGTATCTTATGCGTGATAAATCGTCTCATGCAACTTAAAATTTTAACAACAAAAAATATTTTTGACTTTAACTAAGGCCCAGTTTACAGAAAATTTGTGGATGAGTTATGGTTTAACCATGTTATCTGTATCTTTATATCTTGCATTTAGCCAAAACATATATTATTCTTCCTTTTTTTACAAGTTCCATTTAATTTTTATTAACTGTTTTCCATCCATATCAATATCACAAAATATTACATGCATAATTAAAGCTATGGAAATTGTCAGGTGCAGAAACCAATTCGGAGTAAGCGAGTAAACTCAGTTATCGATAGGAAACTTGAAGTGTAAAAAGCCTTAAATGACATAAAATACAGCTTATATATTCTTATACTTTCAAACTTTTGACAGCTGTTGTCGTTGCCGAGGCTGAAGTAGCAATTTTAAAGAATCTATTAAATTACTAACTAAACTCTAACAATGGCTCAAGTTCCTTTGGCAGCTTGCTCGCACAAGCGCCAGGTGTGCAGTCTGTACAAGAGGGCTCTTCGCAATTTGGAGGCCTGGTACGATCGACGCCCCGAGTACCGCTACCAAGCTGTCCTGCTGCGTGCCCGTTTCGACCAGAATCGCTGCAAGGACATTGGCGAGGGCGTCAGTCTGGTGGCCTGTGGAGAGAAGGAGCTCTTCGAGACGAAGCACTACCAGCCACGATGCTTCACCAATAGCATCGGTGGCATCGCCTTCGAACGGGAAGTTGTCCCGCCTGACTGGATGCTGGACTACTGGCATCCCCTGGAGAAGGCCCAGTACCCCGAGTACTTCGCCAAGCGGGAGCAGCGCAAGAAGGAGTACGTCACCTGGTGGGAGAAGCAGTACTGCAAGCCGAATCTACAGGATCACTAATCCAAGAGTATCCTAATCAAGTCACATGCCATCTTTGTTTTTAAATATAAATCTGTTGGAGCTCAAAGTATGTGCTATATAATGGCCATGATATGTAACAGGATTCAGTTGAACATATTTTCTCGAAATATACTTATTTAACCAATATCGCGATTTGTTATTATTATTTCCTTATATAAAAATAAACCCCGGGGAAAAAAAGATTCACAAAAGAAATTATTTGTAGGAAATTAAATAAATCAAATAGTTGTCTTTGAGAAAAAATAGGATATTAATACAATATTTCTTTTTATAAAACGTTTCCTTTAAAGTTAATCCTTTTTAAATTTAAATGAATATGAAAATATTAAGCTAAAACATCAGATATGGTCTACATTTTGTCTGCTGTTTGTGTAGGTACATATGCCAAATGCGTATAGTTTCAATATTAAGTTGCAATAATATTCCTTAACTAAACTATTAGATACCTTTTTATTGAACTAAATAAATGACTTACTCCTGAATATATTTAATAAAATTTCTTGATCAAATCTAGCGATAAAAATATCCCAGCAAAAGCATTTCCCCAACCCCTTATCCTCCTGAGCCCCAGCCTTAATTTCCTGTCTCGTTCCTCCCACCCAACTGAGCTATTTTAGATCCTTATCAGTTAACAGATATGAATGTCCAATGTCGTTATGACGAAGTGGCCATGTCCCCGCCGCAACTCAAACATAATTTTTTGCACCTAACAAATATCCCCAACGCCGTGTGTCCGTGTCGCCAACATGGCCATCAGCTCTGGGCCATCTGCTTAGGTGATGATATTTAGTTGACATCAGCCTGCCACTCTGCCACATTGCCACGCCCCCAGCCACCCACCGCCCTCCGGCCTTTCTGGCCTTGGTTATGACAGACAGGCACGCACTGCTCATGGAGACACATTGGAGGCCACAAAAATCACGTGTCTCAATTGTTTTTGGCGATTTTAATGGGACCGAAAATAGGAAAAAGGCAGGGCATAAATTAAATTTGAATAAAAAACCAATTCGTCTTCGTTAGCTGGGCCACCGATCCGTCGGAGACCGAAGGCCTAGAAAAAAGAGAAAAACAGTTATGACATTTGGCCGGCGGAGGGGAAGTCGAGAACAAATGGAGAAGCGGTCAGCTAAGTGACCGCAACGCCCACGCAGCTCGAAGGACCCAACAAATTCCGACTCCGTTACCGAAAAATGGGTAATTGCTTAATTATGAAAATTCCCTTTGTAACGCCTGGTGTGCGTGAGGGCCGGAAAAAGGGGCTGGGCCGTGGTCAGCCGCATTTTTACAAGCAATTGCCAGTGGTCCGAACGAACCATCAACCATCAACCATCTGTCCATCCTTCCATCCGTCCGCGCAGCGGCACTCTAATTAAATTATCAAAAATTCATACTGACAGCGGGCAAGGGATCGCGCCAACGACGGATTCCCCATATTGACCTCGTTACACTGAGAATTAAATTTTCACCAACAACTTAAAACGATTGCTTCTCAAAATTCAAGATCCATGGTAAATGGCTAAGCCTAAAATACACTACGCTATAATAATTAATAAAAATAATAATTTGCTTAGTTGCAATGAACCAAATGTCTAAGCTAACAAGGTAATCTTAAAATATAATCTTGAAACCCTTTGGAAATTCTGTTAGCACACATCTAATTCAGATAATTTCAATCCTTATTGAATGATAAAATAAGTTAATTCGACTTACTTTGCCAAGATATAATAATAGCCAATCTATAATTCGTTTGATATTATAAATATAGGAGTAGTGTTATTTAATTTTATTTTCTTCTTTTTTTTCTAACCACATTTACAAAAGACCAAAATAATTTGTATGTTTTATTTGTTTTTAAAAACCGATAAAATTTTTCTAATGTAGGAATCCCTGATTTCTCTTAGTGCACCCACTCGACCAGCTCATTAATTCGCATGTAGTTTAGCTCATCCTTGGGCCGCCTGGTGACATTCATTTGCCGGCTAAATGCTTTCTGACATTGTTTAATTGCCATGGCCAGCTCGACGGTTGCCTGTTGGCTCCTGGTCTCGACTTATGCCAGTTCCAGCTCGGTTTTGGCTCTGGGGAACCCTGCTTATCGGCCGATGGACATTTGATAAATGATTGCGCCTGCAGTTTGCGTTTCAATTTGTTTACCTTGCAGCAGGAGTGTGCCCAAAGTGTCATCCGCCGCGTTGACAGCTGTCAAAATTGCGGCGCTGGCGCTGTGAGCAAAATCGATTGGCGGACTACCAGTTGCCACTGGCTTTTCCGCGAGCTTTCCTCTCGATTGCCAAAATCTGCGCAGTGAGATGCCTGAGCTTCCGCTCAGCATCTCCATCTCACCGATTTAAAAAACGGCAAAAAGAGAGTTCGCACATCCTTTGTTTACAATGAACAACTCCAGCAATTTTGGGAGGATGCTGCTGCTCTGGGGCTGCAGGACCTACGTTGATGACGGCCCGGAGCAAAATCTCCGGAGAGGAGAGTCCTGCATGTAGCATGTGTGTGTGTGTGTGTGTGCGAGTGTTGAGCGCAAAGTGTCAACGCGTGCTTTGGCATTCTTCTACGGCTTTTTTTCCCCCAAGGCCCCCCTCCCGGTTTCACCAGAGTTCCAAGTCGAACCGGGCATATGGCAATCGATGGGCGCATTGGCAACGCTCAGTTGTATAAATATTTTATTTATGCAAAAATCCCATCTGTTGTACGCGTACCTTAAGCCAGGGGGTTTCTTATCATCGAAGGGTTCCAATGTGCGTGGGTGTTCTTATCGGCCAGGGGTTGCAATTTTAGCATTACATTTTATTGTGCGTCGTATAGGTGAGGGGGAAATTCTATTAATATTTTAAGGGTATCCGGAAATGTGTTACAGTTCTAGTGTAGCCTAGACTTTTTACCTTTTTGCGGAACTTAAATAAAATAAAACCCATTTTTACTCTAACATTTTATACCAAGAAAAAACATATTTTTGATCATAAATTTTTATCCTAATACTTACTATACGATTCTTATAAAATATTAGAAAGTAACATGTTAAGATTGTTTGAAATATGAAACTTTTATTTTCAAATATGTTTTGCAAATTTCTAAGGAATTCTATGATAATGAACTAGTAGAAACTTATCAAATGTCTTTTTATTAATTTTTAAATAATATAGACTATATACGTTATATACTTGTAGATTTTTTAAAAATTAATATTGTTTATCAATATACCATAAATTAAAGAGCATTTCCAAGGTCGTCTTCGAGATTGGCAAGCTCTCACATAGAGCTTTTTATTGTTTTCGGTTTAGACGCAGCAGCCGCTGCCAAAGGAGAGAATGTTTTGGCCGTGTGGTTCAGTGGCTCAATGGGTTTTGGGTCCGGGGGGTGGGGATTTGGTGTTTTGGGTGGCCTTTGGGGGGTGGTGCCGGGTGGGGCGCAGCGCAGCACAGCACGGCACAGCACAGTACGACCCACAGCCCACCGTGCACCGCTGGTCGGGTTGAAAACTATTCTGTCCCGTGCGCTTTGATGCTCACTTCACTTTTCCACGTTCCACGTACTTTTTTTCACCCATTTTCTTTGGCCGAACTTTTAGAAATGCTTTCGCTGTGCGAGTGTGTGTGTGCGTGGTTCGATGGCGGCAACGTTTTTGGTCCTTGATTTTGGTTTGGGTTTCGCTGGGAGACGCTGTGAGATTTTGGCTTTTGTCGCTCTCTTTGACAAACTCAACGCAACGCAACGCGACGCGACGCGAGTGGGCTCTTGGCCAGGCTTTTGTTGTTCCCAATAAAACAAAAAAAATAATAATACAAAAAAATATATAAAAATAAAAGATGTGAACTCACCCACGGTTAATCTATAAGTTTTTCAAACAACTACATGTGGCGAAAGCCAGAGCCTCGAAGTTAGAAAAATCGAAATAGTCGCGAGATTAGAAATTTTGTGTGCGATAGTGTGTGTTCGTGTGTATGGGACATGGAGAAAGGACATCGCGTCGCCATGTTAGACGTGTTTGTTGTCGTTGTCGCCGCCACGTTGTCGGTGAAGTTAGGTCCTGGATGCTCCTAGAACCAGGATAACTATAATCCATCCTCGGCCCGGAGGATTGGACAATGGCGCAGGAACTGGCACTAGCTCCGTAATCTCCACCAGAAAGTGCTAGAGGGAATACCCGCCAGCGGAGGATAGCGGGAGCACCGTTAGACGTAGACGTTATCCCGTAGACCCCCCGGAAAATCCCCGTATCCCCCAGAAATTCCCACAGTGTTTTAGTTGCTCGCTCGCCCGCTCGCTCTCTCCCTCGCGCGTGTGTGTGTTTGTGTGTGACTTTCTCTCTCTCGCACTGTCACTCTCTCCGCACTCTCTCCGCTCTCTCTGGCGTGACATGTTTATGTTTTGGCCACCAACGGCGCTCTCAGTTGCCAATTTTGACAGCCGAAACTGTCAGTGTACAGTGGCGAAAATCGGGAAAATCCTCCGCAAAAACCTTGTTGACAAACAGCATGTGAAGATGCAGTGAAATGACAAAAATAAGACTCGATTAAATCACTTAATGGTTCCTAGTTGATACTAAACTGATACAAAGGACGCATGACAACAGTGGATATCTCTGGGACACAGGCGGTGGATTGAAAAACTGATTGGTAAGTACACATAAAATTAAATTAAGTTCCACCAAGCTCCCACAATTTACTTCATTCCGTTACCCTCTTACGAAATGTACTACTTTGAAATTTTGAATAATATATACATATTTCTATCTTTAGTAAACAAAAAGTTGCAAGATATTTTATTTTATATTTTCTTTCAAAAATAAAAATATATTATTAAATATAATGATAGCGTATTACTTAAATGTATTTCTCCATAATTACAATGATTAGCTAATCAGAATAATCAATGTTTTATTATCATTGTAGGTGGTTAATGTTAAAGAAGTTAGCACAAAAATGAAAGTTTAAATAACGAAATAATTTTATTTATAATCAATTTCATTGGTTATATCAATAATCAGCATTAATATACTTTATTTAATTTTTTAATATACTTTTATTTAATATATGGACAGCCTAATTTTACGGAATGCAATTTCTATTTAAAGATTTCATTCAAGATGTAGAATATCAAATTCAAATCAAA